AGATAGATAGATAGATAGATAGATAGATAGATAGATAGATAGATAGACTTACAATTTTTAGAGGGACAGCGTCCCCTGGTGGCTATTGATAAAAAAGTCACAAATCCCAATCTTTGAAAAAGTAACCAGCAGAGGCCGCCAGCAGACTGTTCACAGACGTGGCCTTTTCTAATGACACATGAATCAGGAAAACCTTGTAGAGATCTAGCTGTTTCTCACATCTGTCCTATCTATGCTGCCATTAGTTTCCCCCCTTTTTTATACTTATTTCTTATCCATCCCTACCTTCCTTCTATTCAAATCTCCCATTAAATTCGTCTTATTCGATTCAGTCTAAAAAAAAAAGTCAGTCTCCCTAATTAAAACAGACTCAAACTATTAGTCACACTTTGTGTCCAGATTAAACAAGCGTCAGGGTCAATCATATTACATTAAGCTGTGGAAATGCCTGTTGCATATGTGCCACTGCTGTTTATGTGTCAGTGATGTACGCACAAAATCTGTCAGATTAGGGATTAGCCCGGAGATCTCATTTCCTTTGGACGGGTTTTGCAGGGTTTGCTGTTCACAGCTGAGGGATGTGTCACTCAAACGACAAATCCTAAACGGAGGAAACAAATGTGTGCCACACAGTTAGAACATCCAAACATACACACAGCCACACACACACACACACACACACACACACACACACATACACACATACACACGAGTTCACATTACCACCACAGCCTGGGAAAGTGACTCCATGGCCATTTGAGAGTGCCTTCTGGAATTGTTTCCAAGTTATACACACAAGCCCATATGTTTAAAATGCTGTGCTTCTCCACACTCAAAATGACAAAGTTAGTGGAATGTGCACAATAGTGCCAATAGATGCACATTCTATTGCTTTTAATCTACATTTTATCCATCTCTCATTTCAACTAAAAGAACTGTGTTTCATTTTCAGCTAATTATAACTAAACATTTATCACATATATGTATCTATATATATTTTTATAGTGAGAAATCACATTATAGATGCACACATGTTCCAATGTATATCTATTAAAATGTGTGTTCTTTTAAAAAAAATAGAATTAAACTCTTCAAAAGTACAAAAAGTTTAGTGAGAAACAAAGCATTTTCTCCAGGTCAAGACCTTTCCTGGTCCGGACATCAAGCGAGCAGTGTTGATTCGGTGTGCTCAGTCCATGACAGCACAATGACTTCCAGGCTTGTGTAGCGTGTAGCTACACGGTTGCGTGTCCATGTAGCTTACACAACAGGCACTTGGTAGAGGAGGTGTACCGCGCGCCGAACACTGTGTGCCGCCCAGCCTCTGTGACCTTGGAATCAGCGGCACTACCCCTCACCCCCAGAATGCATTTTCGGCGTGCTGCAAAGGCCCCGTTCACCCACGGAAACACAGACACTTGATTGGAGTGCACTCTCCTGCTAAAAGCTTTATTCTCTGTCCCTTTATATTTAGAAAATGTGCAGCGGGAGCGAAAATGTACAAACCATTATTGGCTGCTGTTTCAGGTCACGCAATCTGTGAGCAGGCCTCTTAATTGTAATTCCATGGGTGGCTGGCCTGGCTCCTCTCTCATTACAGCAGCTATGTGTGTGGGGGGGGTGCAGGACAAAAACAAACAAACACAACCTCCTACTCACACACCATTCATAAGATTGTGTGTGTGTGTGTGTGTGTGTGTGCATGAGCCGGCTAATGTATGTGTGGGAATGATTTGTTTAATAGAGGCCACCTACCTGCAGGATAAACTCTGCTGCCGCTGTTTGGTTCCTGGTTCACTTAAGCAGCGCGCGTGACGCAGGATCCGCTCCATAATTGAACAATCGGCCACTTGATCCCAGGTGGGGGCAGCCAATCACGACGAACGCGAGGGATGCCCGGTGGAGGAAGAGTTGCAAGGTGCTTTATGCAGGAAAAATGTAGATATATGTCAAGTGTTGATGTAACAACCATGAGCGCAAAAAAGTGACACTTCAAGCCTACTGCGAGCAAGGTAATCGGGTCCATTTGCGCATGAAAAGAGGAGTAAGATGAGCATTTCGATGTTTCCATATGGAAATGTTTCTCTTTCACCGGAGTCTTTGTCATACAATCTGAAATAGCACAATGTACAGTATAACCTTGGATAACAAATCAGATGCTAGAACACCTGCTTTTTCATGGATTTATAATTTAGCACACACTAGAGTGTGCGTCCTTAGGACGAATTGGTCTTACTGGCTTTAATTTCATTCTACACTGTTTATGCTTTTTGCCCACTTTAAAAGCCCTGAACTTGCGATCTAATCTGATCGGGGTTTTCACAGCACCGTGTACAAAGCAACGCCTCAGGGTGTCTTTGGCCCTGTATTTAAAGTTGCATAAGCCTCAAACTTTTCTGCATTTATCAAGATTATTCTTCTGACCGGCAAGGACAGATAAAACTAATCTAAAGAACGCGTATGACCCACATCTGCTGCAGTGTGTGCGTACTGTGGCCAGTGAATAAGATGTTGGAGGAAAACTAGTTTGAAGCTAAATCCATTGACAAAAGCTCTTTGATTTAAAAGCGTTCATAAGTGATTTATAAGTGTTCCTTCTGCTTTGGATGATAACTGGGGTTACTTTGTGTTTCTGTGTGTAAACTTAAACTTATATAAGTTTTTTTTTTAATAAAAGCAGTCACTGCAGTGTCCCGGCTGAAGCAGAGTCACAAAATAAGATATTTCTAATAAAAAAAATGCGTTGGTTGAGTAGCTTGTGATTTAAAGCTGTGTTGGCGGGGGTGAACAGAGAAGAAGAGAGCAAGGATCCCATGACGCTCCACAGTGACATCACCGGGTCTGTAAGAAGCGCAAGAGGATGGGAGGCACCTCGCTTATTAGATTTCGTCGGAAGGTCCTGTTTGCGAGAGAAGATGCTGCTGCGCCTCTGTGAGGAAATCGGGTGATGTGCGCCCGCGGAGCGGTGGAACCACGACATCCCGCTGAACTTCAGGGGCACCGAGAACCCAAATCCAACTCCTGACACACTCAGACCTGGAGCCACTTACCGTGGGGATCGTTTCACTCCTGAGGAAAGGTTTTTGGTCACACATCTGGGTATACGCGCGCAGGGCTCGAGAGCACCAGCTTAACTTTCTGGAAACGCTCACCAGCTCATCTCACCATTCCCATTGAAATAGCTGTATTTCAGTTTTTGAATCGTAGTAAATATTTTTACTTTTTACTCGCTACTTTACTGAGTTATTTCATATTTGTAGGCGCGCGTCTCCATACGAAGACGCACGGGAATATTGCAAGTGTCTTTTTTTGTTGCTCTGACGAGATCTTTTATGTTATATATTCCATCGCTAAAAATTCAAAATTCGATTGTTTTATGCCCAGTCTCACCTTCAAAACTGTACTTAATCGACAAAGAGAAAGCAGAAATCTGGGCAAAATAAGTTTTTGTTTTTTCGGCATTTTGCAGCTCAGCATGGACTGACCCACCCAGCCATATATGTATATATATATATTTATATATTTATATATCGATTTTTATTGGGGGAAACCTGTTTTTTCGGACGGAGAATTATAACTGAGAAGCACTGATCAGCGTCCTGACGCATTGACCTGGACTGTTGTGTGTGCTTAAAATGGACTTGGAAGACCTCCCGCGGAGGGGAGAAGGGATCTATCATCTGAAAACAGAGTGACACACGACAGCAACTGAGGTAAATATCACCAAGAATTCTGATTTATTAAGGAAACGTATAATATGCAATGTGTATAAACCATTTGACCAATACACGAAACATTGATTTTTTTAAATCACATTTGACGTGAAATATATATATTAAGGGAATTCAATTAAGTTACCACACATGTTTCTATCTAGAGATAACCCCACCATGGCCTCAGTTCTGGACAGTGGCTGCTCCATGGAGCTGATTGGCTGGAACAGCAGTGTGGGCAGCTCCGGGGCTTCGGCGCCCTGCAACCAGAGCGTGCGCGCGCTCGCGCCATACTCCCCTGAAGCCACGGCGGCTTTCGCCACAGCCATAACCTTGATGGTCGTTTTCACCATCGTGGGGAACATCATGGTCATCATCGCCGTGCTGACCAGCAGGTCACTCCGAGGTCCGCAGAATCTGTTCTTGGTGTCGCTGGCCGCCGCGGACATTCTAGTGGCCACGCTCATCATCCCCTTCTCCCTGGCCAACGAGCTGCTGGGCTACTGGTACTTCAAGTCTCTGTGGTGTGAGATCTACCTGGCGCTGGACGTGCTGTTCTGCACCTCCTCCATCGTGCACCTGTGCGCCATCTCGCTGGACCGCTACTTGTCCATTTCCAGGGTCACCTATGGGCGTCAGAGGACTCCCAGACGCATCAAAGCCGCCATTGTGGTGGTGTGGCTGATCGCGGCCATCATCTCCTTCCCTCCTCTGCTCTCGCTCAACAAAAGTAAAGGAGAAGAGTCGGCCAGGGAGAGAGGGCCGCAGTGCCAGCTGAATGACGAGCGCTGGTACATTCTTTACTCCACCATGGGCTCCTTCTTCGCCCCATGCCTCATAATGATCCTGGTCTACCTGAGAATTTACCAGATTGCCAAGCAGAGAACGCGTTGCCCACCTGGGGAGCCCAGGAAGGACGGAGTGGGCTGCGCGACGCCAAGTCAGCCTCCAAGACAAGTGCAGGCCAATGGGAAGAACGACGAAGACAGCACGCCCCCCTCGTCCAACAAAAGCTCAAATCCCAGACCACCGACCCTGGCCATCACCCCCTCCCCGTCCCAAGGAGATTGTCCGGCCTCCCCAAATCCCACGCCAAACAACCTCCTGCAGCCTCCGTCCCCTTCTCCCGCCGTTTCACCCGTCACAACCTCCCTCGACACGTCGCTCCACGGCCCCTTGGCCCCCTCCCCTGCGACCCAGCCCGCACCCAACAAGAAAGAGGAGGGCAAGAAAGGCAAACGCATGAGAGGAAAAAAGGCCGACAACAACAACGGGGACAGCTCCAGCACGGAGAGCGACATGGAGCACAGTCAGGGCGGGGGGCGCGGCAGCGCCAGCATGCCAGGGTCTCCTGCCGGGGGGGGGGTCCACTCCCCGGCCTCGGTCAAACGCTACCGGGACATGATTGCCACTTCAAAAGGGGCTCGGCTGGTGCCGGGAAGGAAATCCAAAATGGACAACAACCCCGGGGCAGCGCGACGTAAAGCCATGGTCAACCGAGAGAAGCGCTTCACCTTCGTCCTGGCAGTGGTCATCGGCGTGTTCGTGGTGTGCTGGTTCCCTTTCTTCTTCTCCTACTCTCTGCAGGCAGTGTGCCCAGAGACCTGCGTCATCCCAGATCCACTGTTCAAGTTTTTCTTCTGGATTGGCTACTGCAACTCGTCCCTCAACCCAGTCATATACACCATCTTCAACAAAGACTTCAGAAAGGCCTTTAAAAAGATACTGTGCAGAAGCACAAAGGGTACTTTCTTTTAGCATACAGATATACTCAGCAGGGCGTTGACACAGAAAAAAAAGGCTAATCTTGTGGCATGAAAAAAAAACAATCTTTTCCAATTTTCAGAATTCTTAAAGGGCTGTTTTAAAAATATGCTAAACTGTGGAAAATTCCAGCATGAAACTCAAAGCCGAAAGACACTTTTGCAGCCACAGTGCGCAAACCGGCAAGTTGGTCTGTGAAATCCCTGCTTGCAGCTGATAGACAGAAATTTTTTACAGGGTGTGAGATGAAAACCGGGCATGGAAAAGAGGCTGATCAGTCTGAGTGCTTTAAACGGCTTAGTACTTCGGTATTAATAATGAGATAAGGATAGGAATGCAACATGTTATCTGCAGATCACACTGACTAATGGATAATAGCGACAGACAAAGTGATGCAGCATCACTGAGGACATGTACATAGTCAAAAATATGTTTAAAAACGATAGGAAAGCCATGCATAAGCAGGAAAAACCACAGAGATTAAATTCTCCAGTGTGAATAAAGACTATTAGATCTATATCATGTTTTGTAAGTTGTCCAGGACTAATGGATAAAGAAGGCAAGTGACCTTAGATACATGTGAGCCTTGGGCCTTTTTATTTATCAGTACAGAGCACAAGGAGGACACAAGGTTAGTGGTGATTTCTTACGTCTGCAGTCTTAATTTGCCCAGCTTCAGGGCAAACATGTGTTCCTTGATTTTAAAGTACAACAACAAGAGAAGGTTTCCAACTATCTCAGATGTGATAGCACAAACAAGGGCACCCTTTCAAACTTAACTTGTGGACTTTTATGTGGAAAGCCACCTTGCTCTTGGCTTTGCAGCAGTCAAAAATGGACACAATCCTGGCTTTCACCTTTACCGAACAAAAGAATGAAAGGAAGTGTGGTTGATGTTGGACTTCACATGGAAAATCACATGCATGTAATGGAGATGTAGAAAAAAGGGTGATGCGACCCCCGTCATCCTCTTGACGTGTTATTTCCTGTTTAACTAGACTATTACATTAACAGAATGACCTGAGCATCTCATCCAGCGAGCTGCTTCAGTCTTTGGACGGTTTAAATGTCACTTGGAGCGTCTTTCTGGGACGTGGCTCTGCTGAAGACTGAAAAATCTGCAATGTTTATATATTTGCGATTGCAAAGATTGTTTTCTCCGATTCCTTGCCTGTCCTAAGCAGCAGTATTTACCAGGTGGACGTTTATATCACTACAAAGGACAGTCAAACAATGCAATTCCAGATGTGTGACTCTACTCTTAATTACAGCTGTTGGGGTTATTCTGAAAACATGTGGCAGAGTAATTTTCTCCTTACTCCTCTGGCACATCATCTCCTCCGTATTGGCACTTCTGATGTATTGCTTGGTGGCAGGAGAAGATGTATTTTTTTTCCTTTTCTAACCATGACACTGAAAAAAAAAAAAGAAAAGAAAATGTGTCTAACTGTGAACAGCACACAGGTTTATTGACTCTACGGGACAAGGGCTGTCAGCAGGAAAACATCAATTTACTAATTGTTTAACTCTGCTGACCTGTATGAGTGTGTGTGTGTGTGCGTGTATGCGTGTGCGTATGCATGTGTGTGTGTGTGTGTGTGTGTGGGTGGGTGGGTGTGTGTGTGTGTGTGTGTGTGTGTGAATATGTAAGTGTTGGTGTGTGCATGCGTACTGACCTTAATGTTTTTCCTTTTTTATTCTATTGAAAGTGTCAGTGCCTCCTCTGGCTGCTATGTACTACAGATCTACTGCATCACTGAAGAGCAGAGAACAGATTTGCCCGTACAGGCATCACATTGGTGTCTGTCACATGAATGTTTCACCCAGTGGGAAGATTGACAGACGATGCCGAGACGGTGTTATTGAACTGAACGTCAGTGCTTATCCGTAATGGTTTCTGAGTACATGGCTTTTTAGTGATCACCCTCAAGGGACCATAGAGCCTTATAGGACATAAGCCCGACTCAGTGATCCCTGGCTCTGTGTTGATTTGATGAAGTATTGGTTTATTTTTTATGTTTGTGACAGCGGGTTCAGATTGAAAACACCTTTATTTATTTCAACCTGTTCTGTATTTTCTGTCTGTTACCTATTTATTGTTAAGTTTCCCTGCTTTTTTGTTTTTTCTCCGAAAATCAAGCAAATTGAACAAAGAATGAGAAAAATGTACAAATTTTGAAGTTAGAAATGAGAGCAAAATTGGCTCGGAGGATGCTTCGTGGGAATGTTTAAGTCCGGAGTTTGTATTTGTGTTGAAGTGAAGGAGAAAGTATTGTGCTTAATACAGAACCTGCAAGGTAACATTTGTCATAGTTTCATCTAGTTATAGCACCATAAAATGTTTCATTAGAGGTACATCGAGCAAACAGCAGAAAATATCTCCTCACCCCTGCTACAATTGTCAACCTTCATCTGCAACAGTAATCGCGCATGAAAATTTCAGAAGCACCCACAAGCTGTTTCAGATGGGACATTAAAGCTGCAATCCACATCACACAGGGCTGCCGATATTTGAATAACTAATTGAATTAAATTGTTGTGAGCAATGGCTCCATGTACTTATTCAAACTGTCCCAGACATTCATTTGAAACGGTTATTTTCTCTGCAGAACTGTGGCTACAAAAATATGACAAAAATAGCTGCAGATGTCACGGACTGATGGCTGTTTTCAATAAATATGAGTTGCAGTGCTGCTCTAAGTCACCGACCATACCCTCATGTGGTGAGACTGCTGCTGTGTTTGTTTTGAGGAGTAAGAATTATGGCTTAAAGGGGGCAGATGCAGTAATCTGCTTCTTGATCACCATCCTTTTCCCCCTGAAACCGCCTGTATTGTCTCTTCCCCAACTGTGTTTGGGCCTAAGCTTAACAATCTTCTGTCTCCCATCTGTCATCAGCCCCCGTCCAGTTTGGAAATAAAGCAACTTGAAAAAGCATGAGTCATTCTCCACTTCGTTTATTTCGTGCGCTTTCATATAATGAAGCATTATGGAAAAAAAGGCAGCAATTTCCCAGAGGACAGTCAGGAACGCGTGTTCCAAGTAGGAGAGCTATGTGGCTATGGTGTTTTCTCGCACGCATGTTAAAGCTAAATGCAGTCTAAGGCAATTTCCAGTTGTCGTGAAATGGCCATGAATGGCAACACAACTTCAGGAAATTGTCCATAACATTCTGAGCTGATGGCTGTTCAAGATGTCACTGGGAAATGTCCTATCAGTGGGACATGAGAAGTCGCCTGCAGGAGAAACAGCATAATGTCGCCTACTGCCAACAAACACAGAGGAAGTCTATAAGGAATTAGAGTATGTTGCCAAATGTCACATATACACTCACACATACTGAATATGCCGTTCTGCACCATCTGTGGCAGTTGTATTCAAGTCATGAGACGTCCAGTTCACTCACAGGGACACACACCACACACTTGACAGCCTGTTACATTTGAGGTCATCAGGTCTTTCCTGAATTGTGATTGATTTATGCTGATGGGCAGTTTGGAGCTTTCTCAGCAGCCGAGTCGAGCCTCTCCGTCCCGCTTTGCCTTCGCACATCTTTTCCGGGCTAGGAAGCCACCACGGCAAAGCAGTGGCCTTCCTTCATATTCTCTGCTTAATTTCCATATTCATAACAGTGCTGTGATTTAAGCCGCACAAGGAGGTGAGCACATAACTTAGGGAGAAGTGTCAGGAGCAGTGAGATGCCTGCTTACAGTGTTGTATATTCATGCTGACACACTGTCCCCGAGCTCCCGATTCTCTGACCCGAGCTGGAATACAAAGCAGGGGTCGCTGGAAACAGAGGACCCTCTGGTGCGGGTGGGCTGGGGAGGCCAACTAGCGCAGGAGAGAGACCAGCTTTTAATTCACACAAGAAAGGAAGAAATCGGTATATTTCCTTATCCCAAGGTGAGCACTAACAACCGGATACTTGCTCTAACTTTTAGTTTGACATTCCTGACGGATGTTGCACTCCACAGTATGAATATGCATGTGTTTAGAGGGCGTTTTGCTTTTTCAAATCTCCTCAGGGTTCATATCACCAGATACATTTTCTCACTCCGTACTCTGGCTCTGGAAAACGCCCAAAAGGCAGGATGAGAAATTTAAAGGCAGAACATGGGCACGCTCTCTGCCTATTGAAGGTGGAGATATTAAAATGCACTTTTGCTTTGTGAAGTCTGTGATAAAAATGTCATTTTTAGGGAGCCAAGGCAATTATGATAAGAATCGTTTCAGTACTCAGTGTGTGACTGTTTCGCAGAACAGCACTCTGTGTGCATGTGAGTGCGCGCAACCATGGTTTTGGTCTTTGCTACCTCATTAAAGCCTTATTGGGACCATTATTAACATAATTACTGACCTGGATAGGACCAGTAGTCCTCACTGGGATCGAAGCTCCGTCCTAATCGGGTAAAACACCATTTCTAGGGTGCTGAATAGCATTAGTGAGTAAGCTGTGAGTGAAGGTTAGGTTAAGGTTGGGGTTAGGCATGAATTGGTCATGGTTAAAGTTGGGTTTAGGGTTTAGATTAGGCTGTCCACAATAAAATGGAATTTCATGCATTTTCCCAAAAAAGGATAGCAGCACAAACTTGAGTGTGAGCTCCTACAGTTTGGAGGATCAAACCCAGCTTGGCCTTTAGAATGTTGGCATTTTGAGCCTGCTGGGTTTCCTGCACGGGGTTGGTTAAAGCACAGAGTTAAGAGTTGTTTGGCAATAAATTGTTTATTCTTTATTTGACCAGCCATGGCAACAGCTATTGGGTTTGTAATCGGAAAATTGTTAACGAAGTCAAGATAGAGATTGTGCCACGCTGTTTCTCATTGCAGCTGAACCGGGAAAACACCTGCGAGTAAACAAGCACAAGCAAATTAAGACAACATTTCCACCAACGTACAAATACAAGTGCAACAATTATCAAAAGACATGTGAAAATATAGAGAACACAGGCAAATATGGAAAAGATCAAGCAAAAAAAAGCACACGCTGAACTGAAAACATCTCAAATCTGCATTTTAACTGACGTACAGATAGAGGGAGCACAATTTTCATGAAGTGTATTTTATGCTCCATTGCTTTTTAATATCTAATATGAAGCTGTTATTGCAGAACCGCTGTTGATCATTTGCCTGAAATGAGCCTTTGAAATATAATGAAAAAATCACAAAAATCTGTGTGCCTTTATGTGAACTGGTTGCTTTTCTTGGCTCCAGCGAGGCTCTTGGCTCCATGTTTTCAGTCACTGTAAAGTTTATCAGTCAATGATTAATGAATATAGACCAGCCTGCTTCATTTGTTGCGCCTTGAATTGATCCGTAGATCAAGGTTATCTAACATACGGACGCAAACACTTTTTCTGCTTGCTGCACCAAAGGAACTTCTTCTTGATTGCTCCAGGATTTGTGAAGTTGTTTCATGATGTCCCTATGATTTGTAGATGTAAAGCCAGCTAATTCAGGAAAGACTTCTAGATTTACTTGTGCATTGGTAATTTTTTTGCATATTTATGGGTGTTTGTGTTGATCTTATTACTACTGTTAGACAGTTAGTTTTAAGGGACATATAATTTTTGGTGTTGTAGAATCAAAGATTACTAGACAGGTTAAAAGTTATCAAGAACAGGGCCAAAGGTGAGGAAAGGAGGAAACAGTTTAGCCCCACAACATTTTATGTTGGTTCAAGAAAGCTTTACTGTAGATGTCAAATCAGACTATCGTCACTTAGTCAGAACATCCATATAGTTAGCAGGAGTGCTGCTGGCTGAAGCAACATTGTAACATGGAATATATTAAGAGGACCCAGTTCATCAAACATAACAGTCTCTTAAAACATTGTGGATTGGCTCACAGTTTGAGATAATAAAGCAGAACATTTCTTTGAGTCCACAGTGTGATATTTAACAGAAAATAGCATTCTGAGTATGTAGAAAAAAGATTCTGTATGTTCAGGGAATGAGGCTAATTTCTGTTTTCCCTGGGGTCCCAATAAGTGCCTGCTTTTTCTCAGCTACACAAACACTGACGCATTATTTTGCCTCCTGGTGTTGATAAAGAAAGAGCGGAGAAGCAAAGCTGTCACATGATTGTCATGGGCAGCACTGGCATCAGTTTAATAACTTCATAAGCTGTTAAAAAGAGGCCTTGTTTGAACTCCAATGAGACTTTAAAGCGATAACGTCTGCTTAACGTGTACACATAAACAGCATGAAACTGGCAGCTCATCACACAATAAGAGGCATGACTTGTGAAGTTGTGTGAGACTAGGTTGCCAAATATGAAGAGGGGAGTAAGACTTGTGTTTCTGTATTTAGCCAGGCCATCGTGGAAAGGTCACAAGCTTCATTTGAACACAGACATACACATACATACCCTAACGCATGTGCACGCACACACTCTAAGATAAACATAAACACACATAAGACAGCACACGCACTCCAAAACAAAGCACACACAAGGAGAAACAAACTTGAGCCTAAAATAGAGAAACAGATGACTAACACTCCCCTGCACAAAGAGATAGGCTCTTTTTAAAGTCAGCACACACACACACACTCTCTGTACACAACTGCATGTGCTGGTCCAGGGGCACACGCATGCACACGCACGTGTACAGCCTTGCATCATAAAAAGGGATCTTCACTTTCCCTCGAAAAAAAACTCCAAAACGCTGGAAAAACAGTTTGTTTCATGATAAATCGTACATATCGGTTGCCTGACAGCCTATCCTGTTTTATATTCAAGTTTTTGTTGAGAATTAATGTTCATGTATTGGTTCAAACTTAAGACTGAAAGATCAGTTTGGGCTCCAAAACCTCTCTTGGCTCTTTGTGCCGGTGAAATTATTGTTAATAAGGATATAGAGAATGATGAGAATATGACAGGAGGATGTTTATTGACTTATACACAGTATGAGCTCGTATGTGTGTGTGTGTGTGTGTGATTTTTGGCACAGGAAATTGGACAGGATGTTCTGTTTGGATGTGAAAGTGTCATGTCCTTTCTGAGCTATACTGATCAGTAGCCCAGGCACACTGTAAACACTTCCATCATATATATATATACGACGTTTTGAATTGTTATAGTACAATTCTAACATAAAAATGTAGTGGGGAATATCTTTGTTCAGCCTTCACTAAAGTTTTTGGTCTGGGACTCCCTCCAGATAATGGCTGTTCTATTTTGGTGCATCGGTTGTCAGCCTTTTTTCTAATCAGGACCTCTCAGAATAATCAGGTTGATGGTCACAGACCTGCCTCCATTGGACACATGCATGCAGACTTTTGAAGAATTCACCAAAAAAAGATCAACCGCCCCCCCCAAAAAAAACCTTTATAGCGATTGCCCAATATATAAACCATTGCTCAATTTCAAAAGTGTCATTTCCTTCTCCGCTAACCGCTAACGACCCTCAGAGATTATCTCGTGACCCTCAAGGGGGTTCAAATTCCCCCCCTGGAGTTGAACCAGTGTCAAGCACCGCAAACAATGACGTGCACATTTGTAGTTTCCCTTTCTTATATTTTACATATTGAAAAAAGAGCTGCACACACAGGTTTCATGTTTTGCACAATGGGAATGTTCATTAGATAAGAGATACTAATAACCCATCAATTTTTCATACTTTCTTCATCCTTATCAGCGCGGTGAGGATGTGGCCTGTAATAGTAATGATATGGATGGTGACAGTGATGAATGTCATGAGATGAAAGTCATTTTTTTTCTGTTTATGGCTAGTTTAATTTTTGGAATTCAAGATTAGGCAATGCACAGTTGAGCAAAAAGTCACGTTAGCGGAAGCTCCTGTGTTTGTTTTTTGAGTAAAGACCACAACACACCACAGCAATAGGCTAAGAGAAACACTAAGGCAACAGCTGAGGGGAACAAACTGATCTAGTCCTGTAGAACAAATAGTTTCCTTGCATCTCTTAATAATTGAC